TAAATAGTAATCCAGCTTTGAATGACAAATTTATTTATGAAATCGACACTAAAAATGAACAAGAGTTTTTCCCATTTCTATTACTTTATTTATTACACTGTTTGTTCATAAATTTTATTTAATGATTTCTTTATTAATTGAAAATATTATCTTAAAAAAATTGGAGTATAAAGTTAAATACTAATTTATTATGCAATACTCATATTTAATTTAAATTGAGAATATCACATTAATATTTAACAATATCAAATCACACCGTTATTTCACTTTAAAACTTTATATTGAAAACTCAATTCAATTTTTTTAAAAAAACAAAAACACATGCACATACAACGCATATTTTTACAGTGTTTTCTCTCAAACCGGGCCAGCTCCCCATCACCCATATTGGCTGCAAAATGACATTTGTATTATTTTTATTTTTAAAATTTTTTTTTTCAAATTTTATATTTATTTAATATTTATAATAATTATAGGGTAAAAAAATATATACAATATATATGTCATTTTGTAGAAAATAAAATTTTTTATAATACAAATAAATAAAAATTTAAGTATATATATGTTGGGTATAATATAAATTCATAATCAAATCATACAATATAAATTTTATCAATTAAATTTAATACACATTTATTATTTTATTCATTATCCATCAAATCAATACCTATCAAAACTCCCAAAACTCCAACCAAACATAAACACAAAAGAAACAACAAAATTCAAACTCATCCCAAAATTCAGATAAAAACCAAACCCAAACTCAAATTCCCCCAAACTCTTATAAAGAAACACACCCTACATAATAATAATAATAATAATAATAATAATAATAATAATAATAATAATAATAATAATTGATTCTAAAATAATTTATATGTTATTTTGTATATTAATTTTACGATAAAGTTAAGTTAAATTGAAAGGATTATCGAATTTAATAATGTAGTTGTTTTATGGTGTATATTTTATATTTAAATTATTTTTTTTAAAAATAATTATTTGATACAATATAAATATATATTTAAGAATATTGTAAATTATTTGTTCGCTATAATATTTTCAATAAAAGATAATATAATAACTTTTAAATAAATGTAGATGAATATAAAAATTTTCTCTTAATGTGACCCTTACTTTTTATCATTCCATAAATAAGTTAAAAGCACCAAACCAACCAATTTGCAAATTATAGTTCAGAGCAAACAATGATGACATAGCACTTTATAAATTGGCAGAGACTTTCAATACCCTTTTGCTGTCAATTGGAATTTTAACATTGGATTGAGTTGTTGTACAACAAAAGAAGATTCAACATGAACACAATTAGAATTTGATTTTCAACCTAGAACCCTAAATATCAACCTGACACTAATTTTTTTTAGTTCAAGTTCAGAATAACTTGATTTTGTTTAGATCATTCGATAACTTAAAGGAACCCGAAAAAAATTGACATAAAACAGATCCGACAATATAAAAATTTTAAACTTATTTAAAAAAAAATCTGATGTGAAACAAATTTAAGAACTTGTTTTATATTTTTATAATTAATATGTTATTTATTTATATATTTAACTTTTTCATATTGTTTTATCTTGTAATATATTATAGGAAAAATATCATTTTTGTCCAAATATAGCCAAAATTCATCAATTTTGGTTCAAATATAAAAATTTTATCAATTTTAGTTTCAATATAACCAAAACTCATCATTTTTTGTTCCAATATAACCAAAACTTATCATTTTTTGTCTCAATATAAATTTTTTTTATCAATTTTACTCTCAATATAACCAAAACTCATCATTTTTTGTCCTAATATAATCAAACTTTATCTTTTTTGGTCCCACAGTCAACAAACCGATAAAAAATGCTGACGTGGACTTGCAAGATTGTGCAATTTCTTCAAATATAAATATAAGGTCTGATTTCTTTTCACGTCAGCATTTTCCGTCAGTTTGTTGACGGTGGGACAAAAAAAAAATAAGGTTTGATTATATTGGGACAAAAAATGATAAGTTTTGTTATATTGGGACTAAAATTGATAAAAATTTTATATTTGGACAAAAAACGATGAGTTTTGGTTATATTATGACAAAAATGATGAGTTTTGGTTATATTGGGACTAAAATTGATAAAAATTTTATATTTTGACAAAAAACGATGAGTTTTGGTTATATTATGACAAAAATGATGAGTTTTGGTTATATTGGGACTAAAATTGATAAAAAATTTATATTATAACAAAAAATGATGAGTTTTGGTTATATTAGGACCAAAATTGATAAGATTTTTATATTTGGACCAAAATTGATGAATTTTGATTATATTGGGACCAAAAATAATTTTTTAACTATATTATAATTTGAAGTAAATAAAAAATAATTATATTTTTGAAAATAAGGTTAAAATTAGGTCAAATTTGAATTTTCGAATTATTCGATTACTTAATTTTTATATTTCAAATTATCAGGTCAATTTGAAAATCTACTTGATCAAACTTATTTATTTATTTAGATTCAGATTGACTTGATTTAAAAATCCAAAATGTCTAAGTCTAAAAATCGAAAAATTATATTTTTCGGGCCGGATTCGATATTTGACGCCTTGCTCATATACATATGAAAAATTCAAATTTATGAAAGTAAAGTTGAGAACAAATCTTATCCAAATCTAGTAAACAATACACACTTTACATGACCAACCGACATTTCTTTGAAGCCGACTATGTCTTAGATTAAGCCTTTCTTTACTTATATTTTAAATGTTAACATTACATTATTTATATAAAAAATATTTAAACAACACCTAAAATTTATTTTTCATTTAAATTTTTATTACTTTCAAATAATCCCATATATTAAAACACTCGTGCATAGATTATCTTAAAATACATTATTATATATATATATATATTTTTATTTTATGTTTATTTTCAAATATTTTAATAAATTTAAGAATAATAAACTTTTTTTATAAAAACAATAATAATTAAATAAATAAGAATTATTTTTTTTTAAAAAAAAACATTATCATTTAAAATAAATTTAAAAATAATTTTACAAACTTGAATGAATATATAATAATTAAATGATTTTGAAATAAAAATATTTATTATAATTAAAATAATATAATGTTAAAATAATAATAAATTTATACTCGTAAATATGGATCTACAAATAGAAGAAAAAAAATCAATAATTACGGATATATATGTTTGAAATATTTGATTTAAAAAAACATACATTATTTTTTTTTTATAAATTATAAAAATATTGCTTATGTAACGTGAGTTTGTTTGATTTTTTGTTTGAATAGTAAATACTGATAGTTTTTATTTAAAAATAAAATAGAATACATATCTACAAATTAAATATCTATAAAAAAAATATAAAAAAAAAACTCAATTTTTTCTATAGTAGAATATAATATGAAAATAAAATTATTATTTATATATATAATAACAATTTTTATTTTTACAACTTATCGATATCTAAGCACGCTTAAACCTTCAAAACTTGGGTTTAAAAAATGGAAGCTTAACCATTATACTATACTTACATTTTAAACACATCTTACTTGTTAAAATATTTAATTTTTTAAAATCGAGCCGGGACCTTGAAAATTTTTCACATATATTTTTTAAGTCAAAGTACAATTTTTTTCGTATCGAATTTGAATTGAATTTTCGAATTATGTTTATTAGAGAGTTTTTAAGCATTTAAGTAATCCAAAAATTATTCTTACATGAAGATCTTCAATTTAGAAATATGTTATTAAAATTGTAAACATTCATGACAGAAAATTGCTGTGATTTATTGCGGATTTTGATTTTTTATTTAAATAGTAAATTCAATGTGCGATTATATATATATATATATAATATTTAATATAATAATAATAATAATAATAATAATAATAATAATAATAATAATAAAAGGTTACCGAATAAATGAATAACTATTGATGAACATTGTTTACAAGTTGTTATTGTTCCCAAGAAGTACAGACATCCTCTAAGATATAGATTGTAAACGGCAAATTCTATTTCTAAAATAATTTGAAAACATCAACAATATATATATATATATATATATATATACTCCTCCTCCTTCTCCTTATCGCTTTCAAATTTAGGTTCACTTTTCTTTTTGAATTGTCAAGAAAAATATTCTATTTTTTTTAAATAAAAAATTAATTAATTTTTATACTATTTTTTACTATAAAAAGAAAAATTAACAATTATTATTCACTTTTATTAAAATTCATACCCGATTAAATAAGCACACATTTGCACACTACAAGAAAAAATTATTTTTGTAATAAAATTTTTTTGTCTCTAGATCTATTTTTTTCGTTACTAATGACACTAGAGACGAATAGAATTACGTTAGCTACGTGAACTTTTGGGACGGAATTCTGTTATAAATATATTATTTATTTATTTATTTTAAGTGGCATAAGAGAGGGAGGGAGTATATTACTATATTTTTGGCACGCTCATCTAACCAGCTTTAAGAAAATAGATGAATATGATACAATAATTACTTTACATTTGTATTAAAATATTTATATATAAATATAAATAATTATTTCTACAATCACATATAGAGAGTGGAATAGAAAAATTGGTCAAAATAAACGTGTGATCGACTATTGGGATTTGGGCGGTGCGGTGCGGTGCAGGTGCTCCACAAATTAATATTAAACTATTAATATAAATATTATTATTATTATTATTATTATTATAAGTCTGATTATTTAATATGAGAAATTCCTAATTTAATATTGATATTATAAGATGCAATTTATCAATATTTTAACCTGAGATTAGTTGGCCACTGGACTCACTATGGGATCCCAGCCCCAGCCCCATCCCCCTCACCTTATAATTATTATATTATTTTTTATTTATAAGTACTTAAATACTAAAGAGGAGAAAATAAATAAATAAAAAATTACAACCAAAATAAAAAAGATGAAAAATTTTATATTTTCACTAATAATATATATAACCTCGTTTACCACTGTTCTAAATTACAAGCCAAAGGGTAAAAATGACAATTCACACGCATCCCCTCTGAACTCAAAAAACAACCCAACCAAAAATAAAAATCATACCCGTTAAAAAATAATTTAAAAAATAAAAAGAAAAACGGAATTCCCCTAATTGCCCTTCCTCTGAAAAGAAATTCCCGTAAAAGAAACCCTACCAAAACCCAAATGCCCAACCTCATGCAATTCCCACCACACATCCTCCGCCCCAAAACCGTCATTTAACTCCTCCTCCTCCGCCACCACCATTCCGCCGCACCGGAAAAAGCTCTCCGCCGCCGTCGCCACCTGCAGCTCCCTCCCCTTCCCGGCGACGGCGCTATCCTCCTGCGCCGCGTCCACCCGCCGGCGGCAATGGCATTCTCGATTCCCCTTCTCCTCCTCCACCATTATCCTCTTGCCATTATTATTCCTCCTCCGGCCGCCGATGCACCGCCGCGCCACCGCCCACGGCAGCTTGACGAAGGCCAGGGCGAGAATGTTGACCACCGCGCAGGGGCAGCAGCACACAGCCACGCAGTCGGCGATCACCCCCGCCGTGCACGATTGGCACGACTTCCCCGTGCACGCCACCCGATCGCCGCCGGATTCCTCCTCCGGCGACCTCCGGCGGCCGCAGTAGCGCCGCCCCCTCGCCGCGGCGGAGGACGACGAGGCCGGCGAGATCCGATCGTCCATTGGAATTTCCTAATTAAAAAAAAACTAGATGTTTAATTCCTGCGACGATCGATCTCGTGGTCGTATTTAAATCAAATTGTTTATATATTTAATTTAATGTCACAACCTCAGTATTAATTACTCTGATTATTAAACTGCCACAGTTAAGAATATGGTGAGTTCATTTTTTATTTTATTTATTGAATTATTTATTTGCATGCAATGAATTATAATTCCAGCTATTCATTTTAATTAATTTATTCTCCTTTATGAAAAATTTATTGAAGTATGGAAATTTATTTTTCCATGTTAAACTATTAAATGTTTTAAAGATATTATTGAATTATATATAAATTTTGATAAACCACAATTTATGGGTTGCATTGCACGATTTTGGAGGTATTGATATAATTATGTAACAATTTAGACAATTAATAATTACAGATTTATTTATTTACTTGTGTGCCGGCGTTAATGCATAACATCGACACTCACATATTAAATTAATATTCCCTCCGTCCACGAACTAATATTCTACTTTCCTATTTGAGCCTATTTTCTTTTTAAACACAAATTTTACATTTTTATTCTTCATTCATTTATTACTTTTAATCTCTACCATATACCTAAGGGCAAATTTGTCCATTCATAACAAAAAGACAATTACTTAAAGAACCGTGCAAATATACAGGACAATAGAAATTGGACGGAGAAAGTATGTTAATACTTATGGAGACATGCAACAAAAGTATTTTTGGTATTTTTAATCTATACTCTTATGTATTTATTTATTTATTTATTTTTTCATGGTAGTATAGTATAGGTAAAAAAAATTGAAAATAATAATTAGGTATGTTAAAAAATAGGCTCACCTGAGAATTGTGTTGCTGTAGATTGGTGACTTGTTACTATTTCAGGGATAGCACATTTCAGATCCCGGGACTTCAAGTCCTAGATGAATCTGCACCATGAGTTCTGCGGGAAGTGAAAGGAAAGGAACCGTGTAAATTCAGAGAGTCCCGGAGTCGTAAAAGGAAAAGTCAGTTTAACTTGGAAATTCAAGTAATATTATGTTTTTTGTTTATGTAATAAAAGAAATTAGGTAGGAAAATAGTACTGTAGTAGATACACTAGTTAGATGTCACTCACTAATTTGGATCTTCCACCAGATAACAAAATCTTGATCAATATTATTGTGCAAGTTGTGATTTTTCTTTAACTAGTAGTTAATATGCTATTTTTTAAAAAAAAAATAAATAAAAATGAAAAAAACATCAAACTAATATTAATTTATTGACATATTACACCCCAACAACTATATTCAATTCAAATATAATAATAATAATAATAACAACAAGTACTTCCAAATCTCCAACCAATTCATCTATTTATTGCATGTATTATGCACTAATTCACACGACCTCTACACTTATGTATAAACTCAATTTATGGTAGCTTGAAATTGATTTTCAATATATTGATTTGAATAGTATTTATTATAATATTTTGTGAGAAAAAATAATATGTTTTTATCAAAAACTTGGTCAAATAAATAATGTTCGATTTTGATTTGAAATTAAAAATAATAATAATAATAATAATAATAACAAACCAAATAGTCATATTAATCAATCATTTCACAGACACATTAAAGTAACAAATATGAAATGTATTTTAAATATTTGTTGGTATTTTTGTATTTGAACTTTATTAATGAAATATCATATTCAAACCATTGTTAAAAACAAAATAAATAAAAAATTACCAACTAAATACGTCCAATGTATTAAAAATAATAATAATAATAATTGAAAACAGTATATCCATATGAAAATAAATTAAGGATGTACAGCTAGGCTAGGCACACATTAGATGCAACTTAATCCAAGTATTCAATTTAATTTAAAATCAATAAACACCCCTTAAGTATATATGTAATTGAATTGATTGTCTATTTCAACTTAAAGAGAACGTGCATTCTATAATAATAATAATTATATATAAACCAAAAGAAAATCAAAATGGCACACTATAATTAAGTAGAGCGGGCAAAAACTGACCCGACACGACCCGATACAAAATAATTAGATTTGGGTCAAAGATTTCAACCCGATTATGTATACGGATTGACACGAACCCGGCACGATAATAAACGAATCGGGTTCGAGTTGAGAGACACGACAATTCGATTATAATATATTAATATTGATTAATATATTTATTATATATGTAAAATAATAATAATAATTTATTAATTTTCTCATAAATTAATTTAAACCAAGTTCAATTTTAAATAATTCAGCTCAAACCAATAAAAACTATCATACAACACAACAAAGAATTATTTAATTTGAATTAAGAAATTCGACTTAATTATGTATACGGTCAACACGAGTCAACCCGAACCCGACACAATAATAAACAAGTTGGGTTAGTGTTGATTAATTTAACCTGTTTAAAATATTCAACCCAACACGAATCAACCCATTACCAGCTCTATAATTAAGTAACAATTTACAAAGCCAAATAAATTAATAAATAAGAGAAACAAGTCCCAAAGACACAATAAATGGGTGGTATGGGATGGGATCCCACATGGGCTACTGCTTTAAACTCCTTACCACAAATTAAATTGATAAAAATAATATTGGTTCCTCATTTTAATAAATTCAAACTGACATGACATAATCAAACAATGTTAAAACCTTGGCAGTAACATACTTATTTAATTTGATCAATGTCTAACAATAATAATAATAATAATAATGGGCCGAAAGGTAAAGTGATGATGACTCTGATTCAAGCAATCATGTATTGTTGCTGTTGAAAAATACCAACTTTAACAATTTAAAGTGGCTAAAATTAAGGTTTTGTATAACTTAATCAAAGCAGCTTTGGGGGTCTTTTCATGTAGTGTTTTTACCCTATTTTCCTCAAGAGTGGAAGATAAAATGTATAAAAAATTAAAATATAAATAATAATAATAATAATAATAATAATAAGAGAATATGAAGGAGCAATTGGATGAGATACAAAACACATGCATAGTGAATTCAAAGTATACTGTATGTATAATGTATATGTATATTAAAGGATAGTATTATTCTTAATCCAATCCTCCATAAATCCTTAGATCACATACTAACAAAGCAGAAATGTGATATGCAAATGCATTTAATTGATTGAACATAATGAATAATAATTCCACACAAAACAAACAGAAACATTACCTACCAAATTTGATTTAATCTTGTATTCAAGAATGTGTGTGTCAGTTAGGATGAAGGTAGAGTGGCAGGCAACAAAATTCAACTCACAAGAACTCAATGATCAATGATTTTAGATTGAACCCAAACTAATTATTAATATCAATATAACAGCAGAATCAGTAAATTATTACACACACAACATGAATGCATAACTAACCAGTAACCACTACACAACTGATCTTGCAAATAAGGGAAAGAAATCAAAAGGGCAAAGAACAAATTAGAGAAGCAATCAAATCAATCTTCCCGCTAATAAATTAATTATGATTCATTCATTCATTCATAATTCTTCTTCTATGTTGTCTCTAAATCCAATGCAAAGATTGATCATCAGTAATGTATGTATAAAGAGGCAAATCTTGCAATCACCAAGAAGAAGTTATATTTCACTAAATCTGAAGCACACAAACTATCCATGTAATAATAATATAAGCAAGAAAAATGCGTACCAGTAGGTATAGGTAGCAGAGATGGCCTCAGATTCCCCTGTCTTCAAAATCCCTTTACATATACAGAGACTATTCTTGATCTGTTTGAATGCCAAGATTTGCAGAGATGATTACAACACTAATATGCCTCCTTGCTTTCGAATGAATATATATATATGCAGACAATCTCCGGATGTTCCTGTAGATCTCTGACTCTCCTTTATCTCTCACTCTCAGTGTGTATGTCTGTATAGGCATAGTTGGCCTCCTTATTCCCACAGGACTGAGGGTAGAAATCATATTATAATGTTTCCAGCATCTTGACTACAGCAAAGCAACTGTGTGTGTGTATGTGTGTTGTTTCTTTAACACTTAAAATAATGTAAAATAAATGGGAAGGAAGATGTTATCCTGAGGAAGCAGTGAAAATTGTGTGCATACAAAATTACAAACATATTATATATATATATATATATATAGAGAGAGAGAGAGAGAGAGAGAGAGATCATGGACCATAACTCAAGCCTGAACATGGTATCTTGAAGTCAGAGTAGAAAAATTAATTAAAATTGATTACACGTTTCTAGTGTCAGAATAACAGAGGAACACCCCAACATATTTTCTTGTTTTTTTTAGGAGATGGGGAATAGCTACCCAAACTTTTAAGGACCCCCTCCCCCAATAAAAGTACTTGCCAGCCAGCCTACATTACATTTTATTTCTGCTTGTTATTTATTATTTTTTTTGTTCTTTCTGCTGTTCACCAACTTTTGCCATGAATGAATTCTAAGTTTCATGCAGTCACTGACTATCGAAAACATAAGATAAGTTTTTTGAAAAAATATCTTTCTTTTTCCCAAGAAGATGTAAGCAAAGAGCAGAGTACCTGTGCAGCATGAAAAGATCCAAATTGGTAGTCCCATCACTAACCCTTTTCTCATTCTATATTAGGACAATACATGATTCCTACACACATGCATCAGCACAGATACAATGGAAAGAGAATTTAAAAACCTCTTTATACATATGAGATGATAAAAAGCCTTTTTAACAATTAACTACTGCTGTGTCATGATTCCACAGACACCTCACATGAGCCGTACGAGGAGGGGTCATGTTCGCCGGCCCAGGAGGGAGACGGCCCTCCTCGTTGTGCTCCATAGCGAAGGACAATCATTACAAAAAAGAAATGAACATGTGCATGCTTATTCAGATGACTCGAGTATGCATTCTTTGTGCAGAACAGTTGGGGGTTTACATGCATTTGAATGAAACATAGGCCACTGAGTGAAAACGAACAAAAATGAATCGATTATAACCATAGGGCTGTCGTTTTAATATGCACGTTACAATTGGGAAGATACAGTGAATAATCTCATATGCATTCATGTAATGATCGTACACTAGAAATGTAAATAAAAGACAAGCCCATACATAAATATATGAAACCATAAATGTACCTTGAGACTGCACTCATGTTGGAAACATGGCTTCTCAGTGATGGTAGGATGGGAGCATTGTCAGTCCAAGTCTTTATTCAAGAATTCATAATCTTGTGTCTTGTTTCATTGCTCGTGTACTGCAATTAGTTTCCCGATCAACAGCGGGCTGAAATGGACGAATATACTGTGTTGTGTATGTGCGTACTACTAAGAATCTTGCTCCAGAATTAATCATGGAATTAGAAATACCTGCAATAGATTAGCATTAATGTACATTGCATTATAATTTTTCATAGTCTGAAATCTAAACTACAAAGCATAAACACTATCCTTCACTTGGGCAAAGATCAAACATTTTCAGAGTGACACAGGGAGGGAGCGTCGGAAACAGCTTCTTTTAAGCAAATTTTTGCTTGTGAAAAAGGCAAGTTTAAGACGTGCAAGTTTGTGCTTTAGTTTCTAAATGCTTAAGCAAACAAAATAAATAAACAAATATGTAATAACTCCAGAAACATTTCTAAGGGTCTTTTAAATTTTGTATATTTTAAAAAAAACATGATATTTTGTTAGACAATTAACTAAATCATTATACTACAAAACATTACAAAAAATGATGATTTATAACTTAATCCTAATGAACTAAATATTGATGTTGAAAATATTTTCTTAACCACAAAATTAGCTATGAAATTACATTTTGTTTTCAAGCATCCAGCATTTAACCTTTTCTCTTTATAGTTGTATTTGAAAACATTTCAATAACTTTTCTAACAAGTTACTATCCATGTAAAGAATAGGCCCATCCTTCATAATGTTTGCTATCTAGACATAGGCGTTTTTGTGTTTGAGCAACACATAAAAGGCAAAGCCACTTTCTGTTTTCACTTATAGTAGAAATCATTGCAAAGAAAGTTTCATGCTTATTCAGAAAAGTTTATTCCAACTGATCTAGCAGTTGCTTCAGTTTGCCCTTACCAGGTGTATTTGCTTCACTAAGCTTGGTGTGTATGGGGGAACTAATTAAAGAATATGGATTAGTTCCACCAACTTTCTTTGCTCTCAATTCTCCAAGAATGTATGGTATAATGAAGTTTCCATATCCTTCATTTTGTGGCAAATTATTTCAAATTATGCACTCTAGGTTCCCCAAATGATAATGGGTTGTTCTGCATTCTCTAGCTTTTTTCCTATCAGGATTCCAATTAATTAAAAATTCCAACAATAAGAAATACTATCTACATGAGACATCAGAGCCTGGGGGCAGTGATCTTAAACTTTATCACAAGACATTGAAGCTCTCAGTGGCTTTATCACAAAGGGTTCTAGTTGGACGCTTCGGGATAGTGGAAACATAAACCTATAGATGTGTCAAAAAATTTGACACACTTGAATATGACTCCATATCAATTGTACAACATAAGGTACTCACCGTATACTAGTGAATGGTATGAACTGAAAGATTGTGGCAGTTGGAGTGAATCTTAAACTTAAGGTGAATCATTACATTGAATTTACACTTTTGGACTGTCAAATTGACATGCCTAAATTTCACTCATTTGTGAAGTCCTCACAGAAAGGTGATTGTAAGCTGCAGATGTGAGCCCATAAGGATATGAGATTGGCTCACCCAAAGATAGGAAAAGCTCAATGCTTACTGCATGCCTTTCAAGCAAGGTGAATGACCTGATGATCGGCCTTGCAAATGAACCCATAAAACATAATAATCAACTAAGCAATAGAGCTTTTCCAAACATTTGTAACTCGTGGGATAATTGCATATCTTGCTTCGAACATAGGAGTTGCAAAGAGTAAATTTCGGGGAAAAGAACCCATTGTATGGTAAATAATTCAGGAAGTTCCTGTATTGCTGTATAGAGCAGCTCATTTCTTCATGTCATTAGGCTAACTTATTGAAAGAAAAAAATCTAAACCAAACAAGCATTGACCAAAATCAGCAAACCTAATTTATAAAACTGTTACAATTTAGAATTGTACTCATATATGCAGGAAAAAATAAAAATAAAAAAACATCACCATGCCTGCATGAACTGATTAGCCAGTCTACCAAACCTAAGACTATAGTCATCATACCTACCAATATGCTAACAAACATTATACATTCTCTTATGAAATAAATAATATCATCATGCAATGCAATGGTGCGCTTGAATAAGTAATTACCATGAATCAATCCAAAAAGCAGTGATTTCCACATTATCTAATAGCAGCATGATCGGTTGAAGAATGAAGAAACTCCAGTAGATAGCAGCAGCAGCTAGGGCTGAAAATTGCGATTTAATTTGTAGTTAATTAAATAAATAAAACCAACAAGCAGCAACCAAAAATTACGCTTACATGTAGAGAGAGAGAGACTGTAGCAGCTTCGCAGCAAAGAGCGTTCGCACCGACGGTTTCAACCAAACAAACGCTGAACAAGGTGCATCGTCTGGTTCAACAGAGCAGAAGACGACTGGATTAATCACTCCGCCACCGCCATCGCCACCATAGCATATACGTAAACATGATGAAATAACAAGATCTCTGCCAACTGCGGTGGTGCGATCTTCTCCGGTTTAACCTTCCATTCCAGGTAAATACCCCTTCCTTTTGCTGCAATTATTTCTCTCATATTCATACACTATATGGAATATATACATGAACAATAGCAGCAGGAGTGCAGTACAGCACAGCACAGCTACAGTCTACAGCAGCAGGGAATACACATGGGCGTCGTCAGGAGTTGGAGTTGGCACAACACGGAATATTACAAACAAAACGAAGAAATCAACGGCATCATATATGTATATATGTATATATATATAGATAGATAGCGTGGATCATTAGTATAGCTTATGAAACTGCCTAAATCAACACCGGCCTAAGTAACAAACCAAACACACAAGCCCAAACCGCTTCAACTCTGCTTTGGGTGTAATTGTAAGTGAATGATACAGGCAGGAGGCAGAGTGAGTACACAAGAGGAGCTAGGCAGCACCTCCTTTCATTCCGTGTCTATTTACAATGTTAAATAGTAGATGTTGAACGTTAAGAGCTAATTTAAGAATACCATACTTTACATACAACAATGGCTGCAGCAGCAGCACTACGATTCATCCGGCTTTGGTTCCAGGACAACGGGGATCTTTTCGAGTTGATCTCCACGCAGAACTTCTACTGTTACCTGTATACAGCGGACCACCGTATGAAGCCTCAGATTATTGAATTGCTTTTCTAGAAAGCAACTGGAGATGGATAGATATGTTGGTTTGGTGGAGTTTAGAAATTCACATATATGTACCTTGTCGCCGACTTTGCATTGGTCAAGAATTCTGTACAAATCACTTCCATTGGTGACCTTCTTCCCATTCACTGATGTGATTATATCGCCCAAAATAAGCCTTCCATAGGAGTCACGTTTGGTCGATTGAAGTCCCTGCAGGGCCAAAACTACTACTTAAGCTAGGATAACAAGTGTATGAATTCAATGTTGTTAATGGTTGGAGATTTACTGCTTTCCCAGCTGGTCCATTCGGAGGAGCATCCAGGACAAGAACTCCACTTACTCCAAGCTGCTCCACGGATTGATCGGGTGCAAATTTAATCCCCAAAATAGGTCGGGTAACTTTCCCAAACTTCACCAGTTGATCAACAATACCACTTACCTTGACATATAAAGTAAAAATTCTTTAATGCTAGAAAGATCAGGTATATATAGCATGTTAATGTATAGTTAAGTTAATAAATTAATGCAATACTCACTGTGTCAACAGGAATGGAAAAACCCACACCAGATGAAGCACCAGATGGAGAGTATATAGCTGTGTTTATCCCGATGAGGTTCCCGGAACTATCAAGAAGTGGACCTCCGCTATTGCCTGGATTTATTGCGGCATCGGTCTGTATGACATCCTGGATTGGCCGGCCAGTTGCAGCGGAACTGATTTCCCTTCGAAGCCCACTGGAAAAGGGAAACTTGAATGTATTGCATGCCATAAATAACAAAAATGCATAAATGCTAATAGTACATTTTTGCTAATTCTTGGCCATGTTTCTTACTTGGCAAACAAATTAAATAGCCTGTAATATCCAGGAAAAGGGTTCTGCTTTATGGCTTAAAGTCATCATCTTCTTATAAGTTACAAAATGACAATGGGACAAGGTAAAAAGATAACGAAATGAGTAGAAAAGAATCGTGGCCGCATATTGAGTTTGTCAGGAATCAAGAAAAACTATATTGGAGAAGCTACTAAAACTGAACAATGAAGATTTAGGGACCACATCTAATTCCTTCGAACCTATTGTTTTGTTCACTAGGCCAATGAGCTTCGGAAGCACAAACATCCGGAAATTATTGCAATTACATGATCATATCTACTCATAAAATCAAGAATACGATATTAAGTACCTGATGACACCAGTTGTAAGTGTATGGTCAAGTCCAAACTGTAAAGAGAAAGAAATACAAATGCAAATATAACATCAAACAAAGGAAAAAACAATCCAACATAAGAAGACTAGCACATTTGATTCAATAAAAACCAGGAACACGAATAATTAGAATTAACAGACATAGCAGTTAAACCTGTGGAATAAATTGAACAGTATCAGCCCCAATGTTAACCAGTTGGTCTTTGTTGTCAAGAGAATTCAGTACTATGAGTTTTAAGAATCGAATAGCCGTAGCAGAAATGAACGCGATGGGCCAGATTTGGTTGTAAAGGCTATTCAATAAAACTTTAAGCACAAGCAGCAAAAGGGCATCAGTAATGGAAAGAGCCTCTAAGGGTAATTTGGTAAAAGTTTTTGGAGCGTCTACATAAATTTATATACAAACAGTTGATACTCCATTCTGTTTAAGTAGCCAACTGTTTTAGCGAAAAAAGCAAAAGGTTCCACTCTGCACTTACAGGATTTCCAATTGCATACACTTTTTGACCAACAAGTAAGTCTGCCGATACACCAATTGGTATTGGTCTCAATTTTTCTTTTGGGGCCTCAATATTCAACACGGCAACATCTTTATCCTGATCAAATCCAACAACTTTTGCATCATAAGTGCTTTGATCTGCAAGGGTAACCCTGAATACAGCCAACGATGAGTTCATACAAAAATGAAATAATTTAATTGGAAGACATGTCGAAGAAACAAATGGAACATTACATTTCAGATGGATAACAATCATCAATGCACCCCAATGAGCTTAAGACAAACTATTGCCTAACTCCAAACAAATAGAGATTGCAATCCGAGGACGGCTATCAAACTTTGGCAAATTGTCACACACAAGCAACCAAATGTAATGTTTCTCAAGAGGCATGACAGTTGTTATTAATGTTGTCACGCAAATTTGAGGAAAATCGTCGAGGAAGTTTTGCACTTTTCCCATAATTTTGTCGTTGGTGCAGAATAGTGACACTAGTCTTTGCACGAAATACCAGGGTGCAAATATATAAATACTAAAGTATCCAATATGCAAGCAATACAATCATATTTATTTCTGTTCTTAACAGGAAAATTAGTGACAGCACTATCACGAACTCCAGAAGAAAACATTCGTAACATCAAGCACCGAAAACCATTCAACAAAGAAAGGCAATCAAATGACAAAACCACATCAGGAAACAAGGCCTAAAAGTACCTGAGATCAGAAGCACCTCGGATCACATGATAATTTGTAACAATGTGGCCCTGTGAATCCCACACAAATCCAGATCCCGATCCCTGCGGCACCTCCAAAACATCCAATGTAAATGCATCCTGCCTACAACAAAAGGTACCATGTACCAATTACTATCACACATACCGCTGCAGTATTTATTCATAAAGCACAGCATCAATCCAGCGAACTTAAATAAAAATCCTATTGAAGGTTTTGTTAGTATCAAAAAACTGCCTCTGTTTTCTAGCCAATGGAAAAGAGTAAAGTGGATGGCTAAACAACTCGGTCAAAACTTGACAACAGATATATGCATGATTTAATCTCCATATCACGAAAGCTTCACAGAATCAAACATATCCAGAAAACAAAAAATGTGACTTCGGAGATACCTAGCAGCCAGATTAGTAATGTAGACAACGGAGGGAGTGTTCTCCTGGAAAAGACGAACAGTAGCAAGCTCATCCGACTGCAACTTCCTGGGAGGGGTAACGACGAACGCGGAGGCGGAATCAACATCGGTAAGAAACACCGACGCCGACAATGCAGCGGAAGCGCAGAGCACGAGCAAGGAGTCCACGAGTTTCTTCAATCGAGTGCGCGAGTCGTGGACCTCCGGATCGAAACAGCTCCGTATCAGGTTGGCGCGAACGGCGAGGCAACTGGAGGTTCTAAAGTGCGAGAGAGATCTGGCGAGAGAGATTTTGGGGAATGGATTGGGGGACGAAGAGGAGCGGGAGACGCTGGGAGTGGAGGAGAAGAGTGTGGAAGCGAGCGAAGCCGCCATGGACACACCCACCAAGAGTTCTCCGATTGGTCGGACTCTCGTTAAGTTTTTTATTTAGTTATTTATTTAATAATTAATTAATTTGGAATTCGCCTATGTTTATTATTTTTATTTTTATTTTTAAAAAATAAAGTTTGTGGTTGAGATTCTTCATGGTGTTTTTGACCTTAGCCAGTCCCGGGACCTCATTCTCTAACGGCCGTTGGATCTACACTGGAGATCATCGGTGGTGTGGACTGTTGAAGGAGTTGAGGACCGTGGACTCGTTCAACTTTGGGCCCCGAGAGATTACCGGCTTAAAATTAGGGGTGCATAAAAAAGTCGTACCGAACAGTAACAGAATTGAACCGATTTAATCGACAAATTCGATTCGAATATAAATACTATATATTTAATATTTGTTCTATTCAATTTTAATTTGTATTGGCGCAAAAAAAATAAAAATAAAAATAAAAAATTGGCGGGCTAATAAAAATTCGTAATGAGTTGGACAAGAGGGCAAAACGAATCGGAACAATTTATGAGTAATAAAGGCTCGTTACTAGAAGAATGAATAGAGTAATTAATATGTGATATTGATGATGGTTTATAACGATAAAAGTTTCATTCTTTTAGGAGTGGAAAGGTGGTGGAACCTGGTGATTTTAGAGAGAAAAATTAATTAACCACTAAAAGAAAATTAAAAAATTGCTAATGAATAGTTAGTGACAAATAAATATTTTGATGGTTTCATCTCAGGGGGATTCAAATGAAGGTGGAAGCAATGGAAGAAGGGGATCCGATCAAGACAAAAATTTCAGCACTTGCTTTCTTTTTACTTTATTATGTTATTTTCTTTTCTTGTTGCACCTTAGATATTAGAATTTTGTAATAATCGATATCATCCATCCAATACAATTTGTAGCCGTGTGCTTTTTCTTGAGTTGATTTAATTTATCTTCTCAGAAAACTAATCGTATATCACCGGAAGTTCGCATCGAGTTGTTCGGAAACCCACCATATCTCATGAACGAGAATTTTAAGGCCAGAATCAATTTCCAGGCCAACAGTTTTTGATATTTTTTTCAGTTCAGTTAATCGAACTTAATATATTTATATATTATATTTTAAAATTTATATTAATAATTATATTCGGTTCGGATATTTAAAATATTTGTAAATATTTTGATTTAATTAAAATTATAATTATTTTTAATATATTATTTTTTATTTTCGATTCGATTCAAATTATTTGCAAATATCTTCAGTTAACAAAAATTTCGATTAACCGAAATTTTCGATTAGAATACAATTCTCAATTTCGGGTATTTTTTAGGTTGGATTTAAATATCAAATGTTGTCATATTTGCAAATAGGTCAACCGTGTCTACCTCTAATTAATACAGTGAACTTTCCCAAGTGGGTTTATATATGCAAAAGCTTTTATTTTAGAATTTCTTATTCAATTAGAAATAGCAAAAAAAAATTAATAATATGAGTATTAATTAAATTTAATCTTTTAAATAAAAATAATTTATATATAAAAAATATTTTAAATAAAAATATTCAATATCATAATTATCAATTTTGATCTTATTCAAAAAAATTTATACGAAGATTTATCGATTTTAATCTCAATATTATTTTTTTTCAAACATATAATCCATGCTAAATCTTACAGACCTTAAAATCTTAAAACCATCAGGTAAAGATTAAAAAAAAAAAAAACTCACCCATTAACACCAAGGCCGGGTTCCTTACACCATCTTCAATCCATAACTCCATTTTTGCTACAATAACTCATCTCCAATTATACTCTATTTTTTTGAAGTCTTTTCTCCAACCATATCCTCCATTTTACAAGGATTAAAAAATACTCTTTATATTTTATTTTACATAATTTTTAAAATTACAAATAAAATTTAATATTTTATTATTTTTATACATTTAAGTTATAATAATATTTTTAATTAAAAGTAACAAAAATAAAATAAAATAAAATATATAAAATATAAGCTTAAAACAAAATAAAAAAAATAAGATAAATAAAATACAAAAATATAAACAAAATAAAAAAATTAATGTAATTTTTTATTTTGTTGATGATAATTAAAAAATAAAAAATTAAATAGATATAAAAAAGAAATAGATAACTACATAAATATAGATAACTTTATAAATGCACCCTATAGTATTCCGCTGGACCTGATTTGAGCGGCTGAATTATGCAAAACTGCAGGTGGATTGGAGCAGTGTTTGTTTTTATCCCCACTTAAAAAATAGGGGAAAACCTCCTCCCTGGCTTGGAGATGGTCTTATACCCAATTGCCATTAAGGGGAAAAAATCCATTACAAACTCATGACCAACTAATGCTTACAATTAATTTAAATATATATATATATATATATATTATATTGAACACCCTACCCTCCTCCCCATACAAAACAACAAACATAACAAATTGATTTCAAAATTTGATTGTTTGGGCTTCTATCCTATCTGTTCCTATAGGATGAGAAATATTGGAAGTAATTAATTAATTAATTAGATTCATAGATAGAGAGAGAGAGAGAGAGAGAGAGAGAGATTACAATATTTTATTGAAGGGTCTCAATTCTTTGGGCATTCCCTCGAAGTTTCCAGCATTTACATCTGATTGTAGCAAAGTTCTTTGCCCAACTTTCCAGTGTATTCCCTCTGCCAGATGCTCTTTGTTTGGTGTCAGCATCACAAAATTTGGATCTGCTCTTTGGTAACTGCACATACGTCATCAACATCAACATCAACAACAACAATCATTTCATTCATTTTTCATTCCAATCCAACAAATCCTATTTGATTTCATTTGATTCTTACCTTGCTTCCCTAATATTATCCACATGAATGCCCAATCCCAGAGCTGTTTCTCCCCGGATGCGATCTCTAACAGCTGGACAGGACATTACAATGATGATTATAAACAGTGTTTAGCTCTGCTGATACTGTAACATAATGCGCCAAATATACCTGATACACTGAAAGTGAAAGAAGGCTTCCACCATGATTTGAAAGCTAGGGCGATCGATGAACATAAGGGCCCGACTTTTCCCTAAAGAAATGCTGTGTCATACGTCCGAATGAAGTTTCAAGAAATACATGGATTCGGCATTACCTTGAGTAAAAAGTTCTTATTGGCTTGCCAGGATGCGGCCACTTGAAAAGTGGAATCTTGAATGTTGTTTGATGGCTTGTGATTTTCGACACTTTTTGAGTAAAAATAAAACATTAGCGAATTCATAGTATCCAACAATGTGTAGCTAATAGATGTAAATACCTTGTTTGTAACTCAAACCCAAAGTCAATGTAATTGGTGATTCCGACTACTTCATTCTCTTCAAGGGGATTCTTTACCTGAGGCATTGCAGAAATTGTCTGTCATCAATATGATATTAACCTCGCTGTAAATTTGAAGTGAAGTGAGTAAATAGAAAATAAGCTCATAAATAAGTCCCTCCTATTCAGTGATATTTTCAGTGTACCTCCACGAGTTTAATGGTGTCAATTTTACAACAGCTGCTTACAGAATCATTTGCACTAAAGGCACACAAAAATAATGAAATTATTTAGCTTTTGTACACAAAGGTGCAGATGCATTTTAGTTTATAGCTAATCCTCACTCGATGAGGTTAAAATAAGAACAAACATCTGTCAACTTGTTTTGTATTCAAAATGTTGATGCTGAAAAGTTTCGAAACATAATGTCAGGATGCTGCATATTTTCCAAAGTAGCATGAATTTGACTTTCCTGTAGATAGTAGCATATTGCAAATGATATAAACCTAAACACAGTCAAGAAGTGCACGAGCAGTTGCAGACATGGACAAAACTCTCACCTAAATTGATATGTACTGATACATGAAATGCACACAAGTAGCTGAAGAGAGAGAGAGAGAGAGTACCCGTCGTTGGACCACCACGTGTTGATAGAAAGAAGCAATGAACTGCAGCAAGTGCACAGATAATAATAAGGTGTAAACAAGACAGCTAATGATAAACTAAATGTTGATACATTCTACAACACAAATGTACAAGGAGGACAAAACCCATATGATAATTAGATCGCAGATTGACACAAAAGGTTGTTAAACTGCAAACTGTAAACTGCTATAGTAAAGGGAATCAAACTCTTAAGTAAATGAACCTGTGAATTCCGAGCTAGTTCGAGCCCAAAGGTGAAAGATGGACTCAATGGACTGGCAGATCCTAATCCATAACCAAGTGCACAGCTCCAATTTGCTAAGTTTTTGTATTTTGCTCCATCTTTGCTGCCAACTACACAGCAGACAATGCATATCTCAGTGTGCTCCACTAGCAATAGTGTGATTCAAGGAGCCAAAATATATCCCCAAACTACACAACGATTCACTGGCTCAAATATGAGAGAGCATCAAGATTGACCAAAAACAATAACAGTAAAATGTCTACCATCAATTTATAGGTGCAAGTGTACAAACAGATGAAAATTCAGAGGAGCTCCTAATCCTTTGGTACATTATCTAAATACACCACTGAGGAGTAGGAGATAGTGAGTCTACCAAGATGTACTAGGGCAAAATCTTACATTTTGGTTCATATTGCACTCCAGCAGTTAAACTTCCTATCTTGCTGACCAACCATGCATTTCTTGGGATATCATCTCTAGCTGTAAGTAAAGGTAACAATGTCAGCCAGTTCCCCCATTTACATTTGCATGCGTAATGTATAAATAAAATTACTTTTGTTCAGGGTAGATAGTTAAATTATAATTATAGGAAATCCACTTGATAAATAATCTCAAAGTTTTTTCCAGGTTAAGAAGCCAAGGAAATTAGCTACTAAAACTTTAATAAGAGATAAAGAAAATAACAAAGTGCAAAACCTAGAGGATATATACTAGACCAGCAGGCATACATGAGAAAGGAACAGCTGTCACTCCAACCGATAGATTTGAAGAGCCATATCTCAAACCCATAAAGCCATAATCATCAGATAATCTGAATTATAAAATATGTCATTAGCAAAGGACAAGTTTGAGCAGAAACCAACTTAATGGCAGTCTGAAAACCAACCCATATAAATAGAGGTGAAAATCATATAGTGACCTTTGTTTCAAAAGCATAGGGAAGACTCCAAATGCTCCGAACCCATACTTGGGGTAGTACGCACAGGACCTCATTAGTAAAATTCTAGATGCATCACAGAAAAATAATAATTAGAAGAAACAATAAAGCACATGGAACAGATTGACTGATATAAGAGTTGGCACTTACGGTTCAGAGTTTGAGACAAAAAGATCGACAAATGTATGAGGATCATCAACATCACTGCAACAAGCATCAGAGATTTACTTGAAGATCTTTATAATAGTAATACAATGTGAAATGCAATGAGATAGATGCGTTGAACGGATCAAAACCTTTGCCAGCGAAACTGTGCATTTCCAATAATTTGCTCATCAGGTTTGTGATCATACGGACCAGCAACCTGGGGATGCTAAGGAATACTTAAACACCGACACTTTTTCCTCACATCTGGAACTCCTTCTAACATATCATCCCTCAATCACCCTCGAAATAATACTGACAAACAAATAAAATTACTTTCTACATAGACGAATTACATTTACTAGAACACTGCCATGAAGATGGTAATATCATCACTACAGCTACATTAATGAATGGACTACGAATGACCAGATTATAAGCAAACAATTTCCATATTGGAAATCATTTAACATTCCATCCTTTGGTAGCTGGATTGAACTGAAACACAAGTGGCTCTTCTCACTCTGTTCAATCGCTCGTTTAAGCTCCCAAGCTATTTTCAAAGGATAACTATACAAAGCTGTTCGTCAGGTGATAACTGAATCATTGAGCTTTCTAAGATCCACGTAATGATCCATAAACATGAAAAATGCTATCTCAAATTCTAAACATTCAACAAATTAAAAGGATACAGTAGCTATCAAATCAACATGCGGATCATCAATCGGCTTAAGCATTATTCTCGTGCTGAAATGTTTCGCTTCCTCAAAATATTCATCGAAGAGGCATCTCAACGCAAGCTTCCCAAACAACAAATCATACGAAGATTCCAGCATTCTGCAGTATCGTTAAATAGCTCTACTATAACCCCCTTACATGAAAAGGCACAAAATAAAGCAAACTTAGGCTTCGTTCGAACCTCGTACGGGCGGCGAGAGGCGGAAAATCGAAGAGCGGCGGAACCAGCACCATCGGCGGCGGCGGTTCTTCGGCAGACAACCAATTCCCCATCTCCGTTTCACCGAAGTCCGAAAAATCCAACAGGCCAGCAAAAAAACAAAATTACACACCGTGAGCTAGCAATTCTCAACAAGTAGGAAATGGAGAGAAAGGGCGAGGGTTTGTTAGCTTGCAGGCGGGAAGCTCGGAACCACCACCGCCATGACCATTTCTGCAAATCGAGAATGAAGCCGCGGGTCACGTCTCTCACGTGGACCACCTCGCTGCCGCTCAATCGAGCCGAACCTATTTATAGTGGCGGGCTTTGCACACTTCAGCCCGCTTAGCTTTAAGCCCAACATTCCAAACACAGAACAGATATTCAAAATCCAAACAAACAACGGTCTAAAACCACATACTGTAACAAAAATTTCCGTTACATCCAATGAAGAAGAAGAAGAAGAAGAAGAAGAACATTTCCACAGGGTTTCAGAAAAGATTTGTCTTTGCAAGAAGGATTCATCTTCTGGTTTTCCCAATTCCACGCGATTCCTTCAACAGCACAGCCAATCTGTTCTTCTCCTCTTCCATGCTTTGATTACCCTTCCCAAGCCTCTTCTCCCTCGTCTCCACAGCATGCTCCAGCAATTCTATTGCATCATCAATCCTACATTCGAACAAATCAATCAGTACAATTCTCATTCACTTCGTAACTAAACGACAATGTCGAGTCCTTACCTTCCCATTGCATCATACGTCCCCGAAAGATTGCCATAAACTCCCAACTTATCTGCATGGTATGATCCGCATTCCCTTTCCAATACACTCCTCGCTTCCTCTAACGAATCCTTAGCTTCCTCGATCATGTCCAGCCTCAAACAAGCCATCCCCATCTGGTTCAACACAATGCCATAAAGGACTGTCTTTGTTTCCCCAATCAACTTAAACTTTGTAGTAGCCTTCTTTAGATACTTGTAAGAGTCGACGTAATTTTTCGCGATGTAATACAGCACGCCCGTCTGTGCTTCGATCCCGCCAACAATGCACGTACGCCCCGGCGCATTTCCGTACACATTGACCGCTCTTTTCAGCACCCGTATCGCCTCGTCGATCTCCCCCATCGACACGTACACCCCGGACACCTCTACCAAACCATCCGCCACATCGTCGGGTCTCATCTTCGACATCCGCTTGACGTAAACTCTAAGAGCATTGGCACAATGCATCTTCGATTCGACAAAGTTTCCCATCCTGCAACACAAATCAGCAAGCCGGACAAAAACAAATGCAACTGACAACCGGCCGTCGTCTCCTCTGCTCGACCTAACTGTCTTGAGCGCTTTCCGGTACTCGACAGCGGCCTCATCGTATCGTTTCAACGAAGCGTACGCATCCCCGATGCTGCAATCCATGGACACCTTGCTAGCATTGCTCCCATCGCCTGCCGTGCCATTCCTCACAAGAAGATAATGCTCGAGCGCGCCTTCGTAATCCCCTTTCGTGTCGAGGATCAATCCCATAAGCTGCCGGTCTTCCACTTCCTTTGACCCGGTCTTATGGATCTCGAGGGCCACGGCACAAAGCCTCTCGGCCTCGTCGAACTGAAAAGCTTGAAGATACGCTTCGGCCAAATACCTACACGTGTCGCCAAACCGCACATCCTTTTCCCCGAGCACTTGCCGTTGGATTGCCAAACCATTAGTGTAATGCTCTATGGACTTCCCGATCAGGCCGAGGCTGGCGTACGTATCTCCCAACTGCATGCACCCTGCGAACTTGGCGAGAGCGTCGTTTGAGCCTAATTCCATTGCCGGAATCTCAATCGATCTCTCGAGAAATAGTATGGCTTCATCGTACTCCCCAAGCCTGCAGTGCAACGCGGCCACAACATGGAGACACATAACCAAACGTAATCTCGACTCCGCGCCAACACAAGATTCGAACGATTTCATCGCCCGAATGGCCAATTCAAGAGCCTTGCGAGTGTTGTTCCCCGACACCATCGTGTCCCTCGCCTGTTTGAGCAAATACGGTCCTAAGTAATCGTTGTCTCCATTCCTACACTTCATTCTCTTCTCCTTCTTCCTGGAAGACGTATCTTGGACTGCTTTTTGAACACATTTGCTTTCTAAGCCAGGATCACTTACTTCAACAAGTTTACTTGTTTCCTCTTCTGTTACAGCCCTCCCTTGAGCAAGAAACCTTAGCTCGGAGTCGATGAACGATTCATGACCATATGATATGAAGCTGCTACACCGGGAAGGGGACTGATCGGAACTCTCCATCTCGTATACGTTTCGATACAAACACATCTGCTCGATCGAAGTATCATTGATGGCTCCATCTAAGATGAGATCGAAAAGGTCACTCTCGGGGCTTACGACACTAAAGGATGCATTCCCTGTGCTGATCAAAGGACTTCTTGGCGACCCCTTGGCAAAAACTCCATTGACAGAGCAATCAGGCATTGAGAAAACAGGAGTTGAATCAACACGAGTATCAGGCGGATTTGCTTTCATTGTTTTGTGTCTATCCATGTACAAACATTGCAGTGAGTTAATGCTCTTTGTCTCTATACAAAAGCTTCTAACAAACAGCTGACAGTCTGACAGAGTAATAAAGAAACAAAATCCATCGATATTATCGGTCACTTCACAGCGGATAAGCATACAGAAATAACATACAGTCAAACTCAATGCATCCAGAGATCAATAATTGAATAAAAATCACTCCTTTTTAGTTTTCCAGAATCCCCAAAACATCAAACAAATGAGTACTGAATGTAAAACCAAAGGCATGGCAATACCTTGATTATAATCTTCCAAGATTTGATTTTTCCATTGAATTAAGTTATTTATGTTCATATCTATATCTACATATATCTAAGCATATAATGTCGTGTTTATAAAAATTGAAGTGAAGGGCAGAAAGGGGTAATCAAAGATTGAGACGAAGTGCCATTAATGGGAAGAAAATATGGCTTTGATGATTGGGGAATTGGATGGAAAAGTGTGGATAACTGTCTGTATTTAAGGGCATGTGGATTTGTGGGGTGGAGATGAGGTAGGAATAGTGACGGCGTGAAGGGGACCTGTTAGTGGTCATCGTCTTCCTCATTGCCTTCACCGTCTGCAACAGCTTGGATTGTTGCCATGGTCCTCATGGATTCGTGCAGGGGCATTTTTGTCTTTTTCCTTCTGCTAGTTTGAGTTGTTTCGTTTTGAGTTAGTGCTTTCGAAGAAGCGACTTTAGCGTGCGGGGTTGTGGACTCCCACGCTTTTAGTATTGTTGGATAGACGGCTGAGATTAGATATTTTTAGGATGCGGTAAATCAACGGTGGAGATGTTTGAAGAACTGCATTATAAAATGTAAACCTCGGCTTCGAATGTGGAGCATGCTCACTCGAGAAAAGCTGTTGAATTGATCCAGATCGGTGTTTCGCCGTAGAATTGATCCAGATCGGTGTTTCGCCGTAGAATTTTCAATTTCTGTCGTTGATCTGAGGAAGGTTCGGCTATGGATTACAATTTTAATTTTTTGGATACTCAGTTAATGCGTATTGGTACTCAGTGAAATTTTTGAATCATTTCTGATTACGATCTGTGATTAGGGTTTTAATATTTCGTTATTTTGAATTTGACAATGCCTGTATGCTGTCTCTTCGATTTTTAGAGGGTATTTCTCGTTTTAGGTAATCGCTTTTACTGATCTATTTTACATTTGATTAATGTGTACACTGGATGATGATTTGCTGAATAATTATGAACTCTAGTTTTTTTGTTTTGTTTTTTTTTTAATATGTGATTGTGAGTAATACTTTGTTTTTCCATTCGACTTTTTTTTTTTTCCTTGGTTTCTGATACTGGTGGCTCATTATTGCTAACACCAGCGTCCATTTGTGAATATGTGAGGCGTGATCCAGTAGAATTCATAGTATGTGCGGGATTTCATAAACAATGTAAAATGTATTATTTTTTCTATATATAATTATACATAAATTTGTGTTTAGGAGATAACAGAGATTAGAGAAGGAAAGGTAAAGGCATAGATGATATATAAGGGTAGGGAGAATTTAGAGAAAAAAGGGGCAAGGGAAGAAGTGAGATGATGATAAGTGTAATTTTACTTTTTCATTAATTGACTTTCACAAGTTTCAGTGCCTAGTATCCAGAAAATTAAAGAAATGCGAAGATGACCATATTAATGGAAAGCTCCCTCGATTTAGCCCTTTAATCTTTTCGCAAATAGCTTCTAATTTTCTTGTTTGGGTGATTCAATCCAAGTTCTTGATTTTGAGTAAAAATTATGAGACTGAAGATTAAGTGCTCTTTGGGATCTATTAAACAGCAATAGGTGGATGTGATGGAGATTCAGAGCAAAGAAATGAACAACAGCAGATGAAAGCAATCAAAGCATCTTAAGGGATAAAAGTTCAAATATTACATAAGTACAGTAAATACAGCTTAGTTAGGGAAGGAATATTCCCATGCATATTTCTCTTCCTGTTTTACAAGGGTATTTCATAAAATTGGCTCCTCCCCATGCATATTTCTCTTCCTGTTTTACAAGGGTATTTCATAAAATTGGCTCCTCTCCCTCCCCGGTTCCATCTCTACCCTTAAGTTTGTCTTTATTTCTAGAATAAGCATGAAAAATCTTTGGGACAGTTGACAAACGGACTAGAACAGGCCTAGCCAAATTCCTGTTAGGATGCTGACAAAATCCTTTTAACCACTTTGGGAAAACTAATTTCAACTAAAAGTGGTTATAAAACTAACTTTTTACGTGAAATTAAGATTAAAATATCTCTTAACATATAGATTAGCTTTGAAAAAACATTTTTCCCCTCCCCAAAAAGATGTATAACTCTTGGAATGTTACTTCATTTGCAGATATTTCTATTATTATTCTGATTCTATTTGTGCTACGAGTAAAGAGCACACATTATTAGTTGAAATGGTGACTTAATATCCCCAATGCTAGGTTTAATTGTATGTTACTTTGTAGGGTATATTTAAATGGCTGAAAAAAAATCGGGTATGAGGAAACCAATTTTTACCAAAGTAGAACAGCTGCACCCTGGCACAAATGGACACAATCTCGTTGTCAAGGTTGTGAGTTCCAACATGGTTTTGGAAAAGGGCAGGCCAGATGGACTTCAGGTTCGTCAAATGCGAATTGCTGAGTGTCTGGTGGGAGATGAAACTGGGACAATTTTGTTTACTGCAAGGAATCAGCAAGGTACTACTTAACTACATGAGACTTAATGTGCCTCTACGTCATGCTTGGTTAGCATATATGCTCATTGAATTGAAATTTTTGCAGTTTTCTGGCATGGTATCTTGGTTGATAATCATACGTCATAAAAGTATTGAATCACATGCCTTATTGGCAAGTTTTTCATTTGAAATAAATCAATCATAAGTTTAGGTGAAGGGAAAAGACTCGAAAGAGAACGTGGAAAACCATTTATACCTGAATGTTTTTATTTGGAAGTTATATGCACCCCACCCCATCACCCTTCTTCATTATGATGATACTGAAATTGGATGTGTTTGGTGTGAAATCTAATTTGCAGTTGACATCATGAAACCTGATGCTACCGTCATTCTTAGAAACGCCAAGATCGACATGTTCAAAGGCTCCATGAGGCTTGCTGTAGATAAATGGGGACGGGTAGAACTAACTGAGCCCGCCAAGTTCACCGTCAAAGAAGACAATAATCTCTCACTCGTTGAGTATGAATTAGTTAATGTTGTGGAGGAGTGAAGCTGCCAGTATCTCATCCTATTCATTCACGGCTGCAAAAATAGTTATGAAAATAAATGCAGAAAGTGGGCTTTGTTTATGAGATTACCTGTGTGTTTGTGATTGACAGCAAAGTTCAGGTTTCTAGGGAGAAGCATCTGAAGCCATCTTACATCAATGGAGCTCTAATTACTGTCACATGACGTTGCGACGGGTGACTAAAAACTAAGGATGTTACTGCCAGTAAAAACAGACGGGATCAAATTCGATATGTGAATCAAGTAAGTCCTCTCTCCAGCTGTCTTGGGTATATTATAGGGAGTTTGAACATCCAGCAGAGTGTGCTTCATTTCAAGCTTGTTCAGTGTGTTAATGGATATATTCTACTTGTGCTCTGCATGTTTGAAGAAGAAATTATGTTTGTATTGTATGCCTGGAAAACAATTGCCTTCAATTTGTAGCTATTGATATTTGAATAAAATGCTAAGTGGCTTGTTTGTATAAGTTGCATTTGTACATCTTTACTGTGTGTTATTGTCACTCAATTAACATATAATAAAAGATCTGGTTCTTTATTTATTTATGTAGACTAGGGGATAACATGTTTTCTTGATTTACGTCTCTTTATTACATAATGCTACCCCATCCGGTCCGGTGTTCTAAGACTTTCATTTACTTTCTATGTGTTGATATTTCAATACTAATTATTATATCAAAACGTAATTATAAATTAAGAAAAAAGTTGTAAAAATATTTTCATTAGTGTGTCTTATCGTACTAATAGAAGAATATTTGTAAAAAAAATTATATAAATAGAAGGATATTTTTAATATTAAATATAATGATGCAAACGATAAATATGACACTGGATGACGGAGGGAGTACATAAATATGTTGAAAACATTTTTGTACTAAACACAAAATATTATAGTGATGCCTGGCAAATTAGAAGCATAGTACAAGAAAACAGGGGCAAGGAGCAATATTTGAGTTATTTATAAAATAGAATGATGTCACGAAGAAAGAATGAGCATGCTCGTTTCTGACACGTGGAAGGTTTGGATAAAACTTAAAAATGAGATTCTTGCCAAATAATTTTTTTAAAAAATAAAAAAATAATAATTATTACAAAATTAAAAATAATAATATTTCAGTTTGCAAAACAAATTAAATATTAAACAATACAATTCAAAAAGATTTAAATAAAATTATTCTTCGTAGTATTTTTTTATGTAAAATAATTAATAATATTATCAACATCAATTGTTTTTAGCATTTTTTTTTCATAGACAATGTAGTTAAGCCATTCAATCTTTCTTGCTGACATAGATGACTTCAAATAAATTTTTTAGTAACTTTAATTTAGAAATTTTTTTTTAAGCAGATGCTACTATTATAGGAAGGAACTGTTAATAAAATTTGATAAACAATTAAAATATTTGGATAACAATCAGTAGTTCTAATATATTTAAGAATTTCAATAGACGAATTTACGTTATTCGGTAAAGTAACTTGTAAAACTTTTAATTTACTAATAAAATCTTCTAAATTAATATCACGTAAATCATTATGAGATAAACTATTTGAAAAAACAGCACTTCATTTTCTAAGTTCATCATCATTCAAAGATTTAAGCTTTTTAGAATTAAGCAAAAACCCAAAAATACTATTAAATTTATTTACTTGTTCAAATATCTCATTTAAGGATGTATAAAATAATATTATTATAGCAAATAAATATTTTTATAATATTTTAGGATTAAAAAATTAATATTTTGAAATAAATTTTATTCCTATTTTATATATTGATTATGATTAAAAAAACTGTTAAATGAATAAATATCGATAAAGATGAATATAAAATATAATATATATAATAATATAATAATAAGTGATGATAATGATGATATGGATGGACGATGATAATAATATTAATAATAACTTTTACTAATAATAATATAATATATAATATATAATAATAATAATATAATTATATATACAAATCAATCTTACATGCGAAGGAAGGAAGCAGAAGAAACGCATGGAAAGAAGAAGAAAAAAAAAAAAGAAATGAAGAAAAAAAGAAAATTTAGCCGTTCGATTTTGATTCCGATTTCGGTATTGTATTTCTTGTTATACGTAGAAGGTATAAGAGTTTTATAACTAGAATATCATATTCTACTAAATATAAAAGTTTGAAACTCAATGAGCTAATTATAGAAATTAGCTTTTGAATAAACAGGTAGGAACAGGTAGCTCCTATGAATAAGCATATAGCTCAGCTGATTTGAGTAATCAGGTGTACGTTGGAGGAGATTCGGATGAGATTGCAAAAGCTAAGGAGTGTTGATAAGAGGTAAACAGTAAGGAATTAAATCTAATTTTAAGAAATTAGGTATGCATGTTGCATGCGATTCTGATTAATATGTTAATGTGATATTATGTAAATCATTTTGTCAGTGCATGTATATATTTATATGTATGTGTGTGCGTATGCATGTAGGAGACTTCACGGTTTATGATATTTGATATACGTATTTGATCGTGTTGGTGAATTTATGAAAAGGAGGATAGGTGAGCTGTCTCACCAGCCCTTTTCGGTAAATTCACTTATTTGGCATGTTGCACACATATTGCACAGTTTATCGAATATGTTTTATGGATCTATCGTCTAGTCGTTGTGTGCGGTAGTGCTAGGCGAGGGCATCATCTGGGGTTAGGATATTCGACCTGGATGTACCATAACACTTTGGCGATAGTGGACGATAGTAGTCGGACAACTGGGTGACTTAGTTGCACGGTCATTCAGGGATTAGATCCATTGTAGTTGAGACGTATTTGGTCTAATCATTCGTGTTCGGTGTTGTTCCACTAATTGGACTGATCACTAGTGAGGTCTACCGGTAGTTTATGATCATATGCCAAACTCCAAACGTGATCCCGTTAGGGCGCGCGAGGAGGAGTAGAGTTTCCGGGATTCCCTTGGGTGATTCCAGGTTGCATGGATTCTACTACATTACACGGGATATGACTAGTCAGTGGGGGGTCCTATATTTGCTATCACGGACTATGGGGCGTCTTGTGGTTAATGGCGACAACATTCGGCTATTCATATATTGATTGTGGGAGTCGTATGGTGGGTATATGGGAGTAACCGAATGACCGTTATATTATTATGGGTTTATCAGGTCCTTCCTTGAGCCGAGGATTTTCCGGCTATTTATTGATGATGGTCTAGTGAACTTGTTATTGCGGGGCCGAGGGTATTTCGGCTGCTCACTTAGACAGATGCAGTGAGCCTATTATTATGGAGCCGAGGTTATTCCGGCTGCTCACTTCGACGGATTTATATATATGTGCATGTGCATTGTTGTCGAGTTTGATATCTTTGTTGCATCATTTCACTATTGGCATGGCATGACACGTATTTTAGGATTGACGGGAATTAGACTTTATTTTAAAAAGGTATGATATGACATATTTCATGTTAGTTCTTAAAATGGATTTAATTCTAGACTGCTTTTAAGAAAATATTTGTTTCAGGTATGCATGGCACATCCGAGACAGGGGATGTATCGGGATATAGAAAGACGAGCTGAGTGAGTGAACTTACGTCTATTGTATTATATGTAAATTTTATAAACCGGAAAAACCTCTTGTTAAGGGGTGTGGTTTGTAAATATTTATAAATAAGATTTTGTTATATAATAATGCGCTTTCATGGTTAATTTTAGCCTTAACACTGTATTGTGGGGCCCGAAGTAAGATTTTGTTATATAATAATGCGCTTTCATGGTTAATTTTAGCCTTAACACTGTATTGTGGGGCCCGAAGTAGGAGATGACGACCTCATGATGCATTGTGGCGGTAGCATTTCCAATATGAGCCAACTGGGGGTGTTACAGTATCTATTTATGATTAATATAAACTAATTTTATAAAAAAAAATAAAGATTTTAAATGTGTATAAAAATATTTGTTTATTGAAAAAAAAATAGAAATAAGTTAAATGTTAGAAATTTAATTAAATTGATTTATATTTACTAAATATGTATAAGATAAATAAATTTTTAAAAAAAGAATATGTCAATTATTATGAGACAATTTAAAATAAAAACGTATGAATTTATACCAGAGATATTATATTTTATGATGAAATAATAATAAAATTATAAGTTTAATTATCAATATAATAAAAAAATATTATTATAAACCAAAATATATAAAAATTAATAAAATATTTAGTGTTATTTATAATTTAAAAAATAATATATAAAATAGAATATAGTGAGAATATTCTTTGACCTTGAAAAAATAAAAGACATGATCGGAAATAAGTTACTGCAAGTTTTACAAAAATAAACAAATATATTATAACTCTCGTAAATATAAAATTATAAGTTAGATATAATCTTATGTTTGTGAAAACAAGCAACAATCTGCCCATTTTTTTCCCTAATACCATGAAAGTAATTATATTGTTGTTATTATCTCTGGATGAACATCACATCGACGATCCCAAAGGCTTGTGGTGATCAAAGAATTAACTGGATGTGATGCCGGCAAAGCCCAACCCATATCCTGCCACTTGTTTACGATCGATGAACCTACCTATATTGAATTCATCTTCATTATAATGGTGCTTCAAAAGCATACTCCTCTGGATTGACGCAGACAGTGGAACGTGTCTCGTTTGAGGGCAAGGTTCCGAATTCGATCGTAGGTGGGTGCGTGTGTTGTATAAGTGTGTGGGTAAAAAAATAATAATAATAAATAAAGACTACAAATATGCGACATATGCACCTTTGTCTTGCAAAAGGGTTAGGAATTACCGAAATGAGTCTTGCCTCGTGGTCCTCGGAATCCAAATTGCTTCATTGTCGCCATTGTTTCTTATGTTGTTAGATTTACTTTTGTATTAATTTAAATTCATTTTTTATTTTTGGTAAATGGGTTCTTCTTTCCCGTCACGTAGGTTAATAAGTTAGAGCGTGTGGTCCTAGACAAAGAGAATTCAACCACTAGCTACGACCCACTTGTGGATTGGAAAAAAAAAAAATTGCTAGTGTTAACGGAGAGTTATTACTTTTAGAAGCTGTAACTACATCTTGCAAATACCATAGTTCTTCTTGTACTACAAAGATTGAATCATGTATGTCACAGGAATCATGATAGCCTTAGCAACAATACTCCGACCAGAGGACCCACAAATTGGAGTTTTACGCAAAAGGAATATTTATTGCACCTACTGTGGACTTAATCTCATGCTTAGAAATACGGAGGAACAAAATTCATTGAGTCCGTGTGGAATGATATCCATCCTAGGTTAAACGAAAAGATACGAGCAAAATACAAGACACAACAATTATACAACTTTTGGAATTTCAGCACGATCTTCTTTTAAAAAATATCATATCAAATATATTGTTTCTTTCATAAAATATTACATCAAATACTAACTTTTACTATTTTTAAAATTTTAAAACTTCCAAACCTCTCTTATCTAAATAAAACGCTTTAAGAAGGCATACAACATTTTCAAAACTCTGTTACAACTATAATACTAGAATGAGTTGTTTCTACCGGAATTGTTACAACAAACAAAAAGTGCAAACAAGACTAGGCGAGGGTAATATTTAGTAAATTATGTATTGAGATAACAATCATTACTGTAAACTTGTTCTTAAAACATATAAATTATTCTCCATGTCAACGTAAATGAATCCCGAATTTGCATACCTTCCCGATAAACATTTCCTCCACCTAGACTATTGCCATTATATGTTTGGAACTTCTCATGCAACGGTAGTGCAATGTATTTTAATTGGTCTTAAAAGTACATGTCATGGGCCGGCGTTGAAGGTTAATTCCATCAATTGTAGGCAGCAACAAACAATTGCGATTGAGTTGACATTTGAAGGTGGAATTGTCCCTAATTCCCAATACATGGGAAAATGTCAGAGCATGTCAAACTTTGTAGGGACTTTACCATGTCTTATATGCCTTCATCGTATGTCGGCCCAAAATAAGAAGCTTTATGGCATGCTACGCAACGAGATGGATAAGATATACAACTAAGTAATAGCTAACCATGATGATTATCACACTAGATGACTAACAGTATGGAACATGTTAAGAACCAAATAATAGCATATCCCAAGATGTCTCATGTACCGGAAGTGTCATGTATATTTGAACCAAATATTTTTTTAAATAATAAATCTAGAATAGATCTATTTTAAGAACTAACATAAAATATGTCATGTTACACTTTAACATGAAGTCTAATTTTTGTCATTCACAATATAAATGTCATGCTATGATAATAGTGAAATAATGCAACAATGTTATCGAGCTAAATTAACCATGCATATACATATATATATTTGTCGAAGTGAGCATCCAAAATAACCTCGGCCTCATAGTAATAAGCTCATTGTATCTGTCTAAGTGAGCAACCGGAATAACCTCATCCCCATAAAACTAAGTTTACAAAACCATCATCAATAAATAACCGAAAAATCATCGGCTCAAGGAATAACTTGATAAAACCATAAAATATAACGGTCATCCAATCACTTCCATATACCCACCATACAACCCCCACAATCAATACATAGATAGCCGATGTTGTCGCCATTAACCACAAAATGCCCCATAGTTCGCGATAGCGAAGACAGAACTCTCCTATCTAGCCTTACCCCATGTAATGTGTTAGAATCCGTACAATCTAGAATCACTTAAGAGAAACCTGAAAAATCTACTCCTCCTCGCGCGCCTTAACAAGATCACGTTTGGAATTTGGCATATGATCCTAAACTACCGGTAGACTTCACCAGGTGTAAATCTAATGAGTGGAACAACACATAACACAAATGATTATACCAAATATGTCTCAACTACAATGAGTCTAATCCCTGAATGACCATACGATTAAGTCATCTAGTTGTCCGACTACTATCATCCACTATCGCCAAGGTTTTACAGTACATCGGGATCGAATATCCTAACCTCAGATGATGCCCTCGTCTAGCACTACTGTACACGGAAACTAAACAATAGAACCATAAAGTATATCTGATAAACTGTACAATATGTGTGCAACATGTGAAATAAGTGAATTTATCCAAAAGGGCTTGTGAGACAGCTCACCTATCCTCATTTTCAGAAATTCACCATTACGATCAAATACGCATCTCAAATATCATAAAATGTGAAGTCTGACATATGCATATGTAGACACATATATAGATATTTACATGCACTGACAACATTATCTATATAATAGCACATTAACATTATAATAAGAATCGCATACAATATGCATACCTAGTAGCAGATCCACCTTTAAAGAATTGAGCAAACTTATTAATTTATATAATTACTTCAATGATTTATTTAGATTTTTTAAAAAAGAATAGTTAATTGTATAATATGTATACTATTAATTTTCAACTCTCCATTCAAATAGTAATCTCCTCCATTCTATTGTATTTTGTTTTTTCAATTTTTACTATAAATAATAATGTAATTAAATGTTTTTAATGTATGAAAATACGTAAAAGACAATTGTAATTTATATATTTTATATTGTAATAATACTTTATCAAATTGTGTACTCACTTAAAAAAATCCCGTTGGATCCGTCACTACATACCTAATTTTTTCAAATTAGATTCAATTTCATATTACTTACATCTTTATCGACACTATTTAGCTTTTACAATTTCACTTACATCTCCCTCAATGTACACCTATCCTACTATTTAATCAAATCTAATAAGCTACATGCTTATTCATATGAGCTACATGCGTATTCAAGAACTAATTTCAGTAGAATACGATATTCTAGTTATAAAACTCTTATACTTCATAACATTTATATCACCCGATTATTAAATAAAAATCCTTAAAAATTTGAACAAACAGACAAGTGTAATACACTGTCATTTTCAATTTATCTTGGATTGAAACGAAATTTTCAGAATATAATGTTAGGGCTATGAATAGACTATTAGCTAAAGAAATTCATCTATTAAATAGCTAAATAGACAACTATGAATTATATAAGGATTTATAATTTAGTACCTCAATATCCAAATTCACATTAAAAATTATAAGTAAGCCCTACTTACAGAAAAGAACACCGTATTAAACTCGAAATTGAAATCAAACGGCTAAATCTTTTATTTCTATTTCTTTTTTTTTCTTCTTTCTTCCTTCTCCTCATTTTCTCCCTGTGTTTCTTCCTTTTTGCTCGAAGACACGGGTTTGTTTGTTGTAGTATTATTTTACATTTATATATATAATTATATTATTATTATTATTATTATTATCGTCATCACCATCTATCATTATCTATTTTATTATTATTATTTTTTATTTTATCGATATTTATTTTTGTAAAAGTCTCTTCAATCATAACTGATATATAAAATATAAATAATTTTTTTTCAAATTATAAATTTCTTGATCCCATTAATATTATCAAAATATTTACTTGATATAATAATATTATTTTATATACTTTGAAATCGGGGTATTATATTGCTTATGGAGTCAATTAGTCATAAGTCTCTCCCTATAAATAGGTGGCATTGGATTGGGTTTTAAAACATATCAAAATTAACAAGTAGCATTTCCATATATAGTTGTGGCATACTTGTTTTGCTTTTAATGCTTTTGGGAGATTGTGAGTTTCGCGCTTTA